TTTTTTTTTAGCAGAGCCTGTTCCAAGCATCAAAATTTATTTCTTTATTGGAAATCATTTATTTTTTCTAGGATATTTCAATTTTTTTATTGCAATTTGGATCCAAATGAATAAAAAAATATTAAATACTAATAATAAGCCTTTTTATTGTGATCTAAATTACATTAGACAGGCGTGTAGATTGATATTGTGCTTAATAACCAGATGTATTTAAATAAATGCAATCCTTTTATTTAGCTTTAAAGGTTCGCTTTAAAGAGAAAAGCATTTTAAGAGTTAATTTAACGTAAAACAATCAGCTTTTATAATTCCAGCAAAGTTGTATCCTCAGATCAAGTGAAGCCAGTTACTGATCCCAACAATCATTCCTTAGGTTTTTGTTCCCATAATTCCTCAGTTTTCCTATTAGGAAACATCTCATGTTTTAATTCCACTGCCAAACATTTCTGTGACATTATTAATTATGATCAACCATCATATTATGAATCTTCCCCATGTCCCCACCAACCGCCGTGACCTTTAGCATCTCAGCCACTATAAATATACATCAAGTGTGGAAAATCAAGGGCAGTGAAATTCTAACCAGGAGGTCAAACATACTACTGCATGCAGATTTTGAAAACTCAGCAACTGAAACATAATATCTTACCAAATAGTGGTATCTATCTATATAGTCCATACAGCAGTAGTGAACACGCTGACAGTGGGATGACAGTGATTTAATATATTATACAACTCCACAGATAACCCAAACATTTTATAGCCATGTAGACTGCAGGCCTGTTAGATTATTGGTAGTTTATTATTAGAAAAACCTTCATGAAAATACTCAATGATAGTGTATGAATTATTTGGAAGTGCGAATGCAGAATGTGCTCCAACAGAATCCAAAGTGAAGCTGCTGTGGGCTCCTCCTATCTTAGAAAAGGTCTGATTGGAAACAATCAAACCCCCAAGAGAGTGAAACAACAAAGGGGGGAAATAAGCAGGACTGAAGCTGCAAAAAATATCAGTATCGATATCAATTTTTATGGTTTTATGGATTAAAACTCTGCTTGCAAACAATATTGTGGACTTTATTCCAGTGCATTGTGAATATCTAACCCATGTTTCAACAGCTCAAAGAGAGCTTGAGAAATTACATTGATGTAAAAGAGAAGGATCAGTAAATGTTCCTTTACTAGTGATAGAGAAAAAAATGTATAACATGTGGAACATCTGAAATCATGCTATCAAGCGCTAGATAGAGGAAAAATTCCCCCCAAAAAAGTGACTAATGTAAATAAACTCACTGTCTATAGTGGTAATGAAAATCACACTTCCCTCAAATGAAAAAAAGCTGCTGCTATTGAAATGTAATAAGCTTTCTAGATCATCTAGATCTTTTAGCTGGAAAACAAAAAACTGTGGAACATCCTGGATAATCAAACATGTACCAGGACAGGTCTCTAGCTAATGCTGCTCACGCTGTGAGTGTACGAGATGCTCAGTGTAGTGAAAACCGGACAGACGGAAATGCTCCCTGGAAAATGTCTTCTGCCTTTTAGGGGGTTTCTGTTTAAAGCAAAGATCCCGTATTGCTTCAGAACTTGTTTTTGGCTGCAGCTACTCTGCTTCTTATTCGGGCTAAAAACTAATACAACACACGGTTTACTCTGACTATCTAAGAAGACGAGCTGTTCCACAGTTTGATAATGCAAATGCTTCTAGATCAAACCATTTACTAGTGGTAGAATCAACCAATCCAGACAAAAGTCTAGCTGATCTGATGAAAACTGACTTTTTTATTCTAATCTGACTGAGTTTACGCTGTTTTATAATTGACAATGTGGGGGAAAAAGCAATAATTTATATTGTTTTCGACACAGGAAACTAAATATAAATGTATAGGGGGGTGGTGGCCTAGTGGTTAGGGCATAGAGCTTGGAATCCTGAGGTTCTGAATTCAAGCCTCACCCCTACTTAACCTCCGATTGCTTCCCAGGTCGCAGCTCACTGCTCCCCAAGGGGATGGGTAAAATGCAGAGGTAAATTTCTCTAATGTGAGATCAATAAAGTTCAATTATTAATTATAGCACACTTTAGCTTATAGCCATATATCGCTGTCCTTTCACTCCTATACCACTTCATGAAGCTCATTATATAAAATCTAAAATTAAGAGTCAGTGGATAGCAGAACTAAACTGAATAACCTAAAGTATCAAAATAAAGAAACAAGCAAAGGTCTTAATTAGTCTGAATGTGACCCATAACCTCATATCCAGCATATAAATGGAATAATAACAGTAATTGGGGGGGTCAACACTGAAAATATCCTCCATGCATTACTCTGGAGTGTTTTGTTCATTGTTTTTTTTTTGTTTTTTTTAATGAGGCTATAAATCAAACAATGATGTCACTTCTAAACCCTTTGGCTGCAGCTCCACTGAGCTAAAAGAGAACAGTTTATTAGGAACAGATTATTTAAAATAAAACACTGAATACTCAACTGCAGCTGAGGACTGCATGAAAGACACCCAACAAATCTCAGATGAAAAGACAAAAACATATCCCTACATAGTGAGGAAAAAGCCTAAATAGTAAAACCATTAAACAGATGCAAACCAAACAACCTGTCAGTGTGCTTTGAAGTCTTTTTTCTTTCTAAAGGCTGAACTTTGTTTTATTCATGCCGTCGTTTCCAACATCAGCTGCTGCACACCTGCCTGAGCGTATCAATGCATGAAAACAAATACTCAGCAGCCGTGCAAAGCCTCATTATAGAGACAAGTCGTACAGTTTCAACTCAGGGTCGTAGTCGGTCTGAGCCGCTCCTTTTTAAGTCTAATTACGGAGCCCTGAACAAATGCCCAAACATCATGGCAGTGGCTCTGTCAGACAAAAGGAAATTAGCCCCAGCCTCTGCTGCGTTGCTCCGTTACGGCCCCTGTGAGCTGTCGCTTTATTCTAGAGCTGGGAAATGCCCAATTATAATGCTAGACCGCTGCTAGCTTGGAGCGATGCCCGGAAGCGAGCGCTGCTTTATGGAGCCATAACGACGACCCTTATTCCCTCCTGGCAGGAGCGGAGGCATCAGAAACCTGCACTGATTGGTTCAAGGAGTGTTTGGATTTATTTTTCTATGATGATATTTCATCAGACGCTTAGGTGCTCCTTCCTGGCAAAAACACACAAAGCTCTCCGTCAGTGCGAGACGTTTGTTGATCATCCTCCGTCATATTCAACTTTCATCTCCTCGCCCCAGCCCTCCTCCTCCGCTCAGCTAGAGCTGCCATCATGGAGCGATGTCAGCGCTGCAGCAGGAGGGAGGTTTGTTACCGAGAGACGGCGTGAGCCGAGGGACAGAGAGGAGGGAGACCTGCCAGCTCGACCCCAGCTTGTTAGCTGGGCCCCCAAAGGTCTCACCACTGTTTGTGAAGAGGAAGGCAGGGTGTCGCTGATTCCTGCACCTACACGCAGCGATACAGACGTTATCAGAAGAGGAAGATGAAAGCAGGATCCTCATCTCGCCATACGCTGTTCTGCGGGCTGTGGAGTGCTTTTCATGAGCCGAGTCGCACTGAATCACGTTGTTGGCCTCAAAGCAGACAGGAAGAAGGCCAACACTGCTCATAATGAGCGACATCACAACGCTTTCACAGCTTTTATTCCTCCCCCCCACCCCGACATCACAACCGGCTCCCATAACGAGTGCAAACATCCTGGTGATCAAAGAAGAGCTTTCAACGTACAAACTATCGTTTAGTTTCGCTGCAACTCACTGGGAAAAAACCAACAAAACACTAAAGTTAATCTCAAACTACAGGGAAGTTTCTGTTTTTGCTTTTTTTTCCCTTATTAGGCCACATTGAAGCGTTTAGGCATAGGAAAGCGTTTGTTCAAGGTCAAGTCACAGCATTTAAAAAAAAAAAAAACTCCAATACCTTTGTTTCTTTTTTTTTTAGGTTTTCAGCGGTGGACTCTGCTGTGTGGATCAGATTAATCTCATTCTGCATAATCCCAGTTCATTTAAACCCTTACTCTTCCATTGTTTTGTTTTTCAGAAGTAGTACTCATGGTAAATCAAAGCAAAGGATCCAGGTGAAACTATCAATTATTTAAGTAATCGATTGATCAATTAATTAATTTAAAAGGAGATACTTTTAGGGCCCCAAGTGGCTCTCTGGACCTTCTATAATTCTCTTAATAGTGGCTAAAAATGAAATAAAGAACTGATTAGTGTACTAACAGTACCAGTCTAGGCAGCTTTTGTGTTTTTTATAAATAATATTAGAATTTTCACAACATAATGACATTAAAAGCAGCAGAAATATTTGATTAGCGTTTATTTAATTAGTTTAATTAGCTTGGCAATTATGTGCTTTATTATAACTCTTATTTTAAATGCTAAAAATACTTATATACTGATTGTTTAAGAAGGCAACATATTTCCTACGGCACATACCGGTACTTAATAATTTTATTTACTTTTAATTAAAAAGTCACATAATATTTTGAGGCTGTAAATGACTTTTATTATCAAGACTAAGGGCAAAAAAAGCTCTTTCCTTATGAAGATTTACAGACCATAGACGCTGATACGTAGCTGCCCCGTTGGAGGCTAGCCCAATGTGCCTATAGGGCAGCCATCTTGGGTCAGACCATCTTTCCAAATGAATAGGGGGCACCTCGGATCTCATTTTAATCATGTAAGACAAATCAAAGATAATTTCACAATAAGCATTTACATGTCCCAACCCCTCGAAAAACCAAAAAAAAAATTATAATGACCTTTTAGTCAGATTACACATATTTATTTAGAATCAAAAAGATTTAAAATTAACTCAAACTGGATGAGATAAATACATGCAGTTATAAATTTCGAAACTAAATAATAAAATATTATTGACATATATACACACAAATACACAAAGCAGGAAGCTTTCCTGTTGGATTCGAGTTAATTTATGTTCAAAGGGATTGTAAAAACTAGCATATGCACAAAAACCCAGATATTGAAAGACAAATATGGATAGATGTATAAAATCCTACTTATGAAAGGTAGTTCCATTGGATCTGGTTTGTAGTATCCTTTTATTAGTGCACCCATAGGTGGAATAAGTGTATTCACCCCCCTAAATTAAATGAGTCAAAGATAATATTACAATAAGCCCCACATTAGAAAACTAAAAATATATTTTATCTACAACAACTCTTAGAGAAGTCAGTTCTTGTGTTTAACGGCAGCTCAGACTGCTGTAAAGGGCGCTGTGGGTCACATCACACATTCAACAGATCTGACCTTCTTGAGTTACATGGGTGAGTTTCTGAGTAGGGCAGCCCCCCCGCCCCCCGCCTCACACAGCACTTCGTTGATATGTACCAAGTGCTGTGCTGTATATTAACCTAAAATTAAATCAGTTCATTCGGCTTATATTAAGCCGATTCTTCAAATGTTTGTTTTTCTTACCTCCCAGCTGAGTGCAGAGTGTCCTCTATGGCAAAATAAATAGGCAGATAGAATGATCTAAGGTTGTTTTTGCTCATTTTAAACTCTCCTACTGACAGGTTATCAGATACGGGTGAAACACCCTTTGTCCCCTTCAGGTTCTCTGATCAAAATGGCTGAGTTGAGTGATTCTAATGGATGAAAATGCTTTTATTTTTGACGTTATTATGCTTTTATAGAATATCTTTTTTGTGAATACTACATAATTGATTTTTGCTAATAAAAAGCCAAATTTGTTCAACACTGTCCCTTTAAGTTTGCTGAGCATAACTGTTATCGATCGTCTTTATTAACGGTTAGGTGGATCAATTGATCTCGACTCAACTGAAATGATTTCAAAACCGACAAAGAGAAATATGGGATTTTAATTACTGCTGCTGACATGATTTGAAAGGTTTAGTCCATTCCTGACAGAGCCAGAATGTAGCCCAACCTGACCGATCAGTTTGGTTGCTTTGGATGCTCTTCTTTGTATGTTATCAACTGATTCTTAATTTTTTTCCTCACTTCTCTTTGTAAATTATTAAA